CTTTGAATGTTTCTTTCCACTTCCTTCTGGCCTGCATAGTTTCTATTGAAAAATCAGCTGACAGTCACATGGGTGCTCCCTAGTAGGTAGGTAACTGCTTTTCTCTTGCTGCTTTTAAGATTCTGTCTTTGTCTTTAGCCCTTGTCATTTTAATTATGCTGTGTCTTGGTGTGGGCCACTTTGAATTTCTCTTGTTTGGAACTCTCTGTGTTTCCTGGACTTATAAGTTTATTTTTTTCACTAGGTGGCGGGGAGGGGGTTCTATCATTATTTCTTTAAATAGGTTTTCAATATTTTGCTCTCTTTCTTTCTTCTTCTTCTGGCACCCCCATAATGTGAATGTTGGTATGCTTGAAGTTGTCCCAGAGGTCCTTACACTATCTTCATATTTTTGGATTCTTATTTCTTTTTTGCTCTTCTGTTGGTTGTTTTTTGCTTCCTCATATTTTAAAACATTGATTTGATTCTCAGAACCCTCTACTGTAATGTTGAATCCCTATATATTATTCTTCATTTCAGTCAGTGTATGCTTAATTTCTGACTGGTCCTTTTCCATGTGTTTGACATTCTCACCAAGATCCTTGAAAGTCTCACTAAGTTTCTTGGAGGTTTCTAGAAGATTCTTGAGTAACCCTATAACCATGGTTTTGAACTCTATATCCAGTTGTTTGCTTTCTTCCACTTCTTTCATTTGTGACATGTTTCTTTATCTCCACATTTTGGCTGCTTCCCTGTGTTTGTTTCTATGAATTGGGTAGAGATGCCATGTCTCCTTGAGTTGGTAGAGTGCTCTTGTGTAGTAGGTGTCCTATAGGGCCCAGTGGCTCAACCTCCCAAGTCACCTGAGCTGGGAACTCTTAAGTGCACCTGTCTGTGGGCTGTGAGCACAGTCTTGTAGTTGAGACTTGATTGCTATTGGTGTCACTGGTAGGAATTGACCTCCAGGCCAATTTGCTATGAGGACCAGCTGGGACTACAGTGGGAGAGCTGCTATGTAGGAGACACCCCTCTGGAGTAGGACTTTAGTGGGGCTCTGGTGCTTACTAAGTCTGACACTTAAATGTGTTGCTTATGGATGTGTAGAGTTGTAATCTGGTATGGTTTCACACTGACTACTGAGTACACTGGCTCTTGGGTCTCCAGGGAGGAGCAAAGTCAGCCACTTTCTGGAGCCACCAGCAGGAGCTACAGAGAGAGGTTCAGATTCTTCCTTTTTCTATGGGGTTTGGAATTGATCAGATGAGGCCCAGCTATAAAGCAAGTCAGGCTGGTACTGATGCTGAGTCTTGGGTCTTTTATTGATAGGTTGGGGGCTCCCTGACCCAGCCACACCTTGTTTGAGGTTTTCAAGGACAGGCCATTCATATGCAAAAGCCTCTGCAGGCAGCTTGGGTGGGGTTATAAATTGGATGAGGCAGGGTCTTAGGGAATCACCAGTGCAGAGCAAACAGAAATGGTTGCCAGTCAGCCCTGAGACTGGGGAGGTCCCAGAACAGGAACAATAATCCCTGTACCTCCATCTGGGAGAAAGCCACCCCCAAGTTCCTGCTCCTATGCCAGACAAATGTGTCCCTGAGAGCCTCATCCTGGTGCTGGAGCTCAGAGGAAGCGGGACCTTTCAAGTTCAATTCAGGTGCCGGCCTTTCAAGAGGAACAGCTGTGTCTCCAGCAGCCTCTGAGTCCCTCAGGTCCAATCCGCACTGGCTTTTACAGCTCTGGGAACCTGTGCTGGGGGTCTTTGCATCTATGGGAGGCCTCTGCAGAGATGATCTCCCTCCTGATTCAGGTCCTTTGCCCATTTAAAAATTTTATTGTTTATATTTTTGGTATTGAATTTTATGTTTTTTTTTTTATTTGTTATTCCTCACCTGAGACTATATTTTTATTGATTTTAGAGAAAAAATTGATAGGTTGCTTCCCATATGCACTCCAACCAGGGGATGAACCTGCATCGTAGGTATGTAACATGACCAGGAATTAAACCCGCAAAATTTGGGTGTATGGGACAACACTCCAACCAACTGAGCCACATGGCCAGGGCAAATTTTATAAATTTTGGATGTTAATCCATTTCAGATTTATCATTGGTGAATATGTTCTCCCATCCAGCAGGTTGTCTTTTCATTTTGTTAATAATTTCCTTTGCTGTGCAAAAACATTTAGTTTGATGTTGTGCCATTTGTTTATTTTTTCTCATTTTCTTTGCCTGAGGAGATATACTAGAAAAAATATTGCTAAGTTTTCTTGTAGGATTTATTTGAGTCTTTAAGTCTGTAAGCCATTTTGAGTTTTTTCTTATGTATGGTGTGAGAAGGTGATCTAGTTTCATTTCCTTGCATGTATCTGTCCAGTTTTCTCAACACCATTTAGTGAATAGACTATCTTTACTCCATTGTATGTTTTTGACTCTTTTGTCAAGTATCAAATATAGGCATGGATTGATTTCCAGGCTCTCTTTTCTGTTCCACTGATCTATATGTGTGTTTATGCCAGTATCCTGCTATTTTGATTACTGTTGCCGTGTAGTATAGTTTGATATCAGTGATGGGGGAATGTGGTGGGTGATGGAGATCTGAGTTCCTGAACCTGGCAGGCTGCCTCTGGGTTCCATATGGCTGTTGGAGCTGCTGCTCTGTAGACACATTCCAGCTGCAGCTATGAGGCTCTTGAGGCTCTGCCACAGTCAGTCAGGAGAGGGAGCTGGATTCTCAGGCGCCAAGGCTGTTTCTTCTCTACTCTTACTCTCCGCCAGACAGTAGTGTGGGACTGCACCCTGACGCCCCTGCTGCTACTGATTTACTGGGGTAGTGGGCTCAGCCATGATAGCAGGTACTCTCTTTGTCTTCCCTATCTCTCCTAGGTGTTCCAATACCCCCACTCAAATGTACCAATGTGTGGTTCTCTCAGTTATGATAGTGTGTTGAGCAGAGGATTATGGATGTCTGATTAGTTGTAGATTTAAAGTTTGATACAAAGGGTCTTCTCACTTCACTGTGATGCTATTGAACTCTAGATTTTGTTTTTTAACACAGATTGAATGTCTTCCTCTTGTTAACACATTCTTAGGTAAGTGTCTAAACAGTTCTTCTCCCTGGAGGCAACCAGTGTTATCAATCTTTTGCATATCCTTCCAGAGATAGTTATTGCATATATATGTAAACATGTTTTTATATTTTAGCATTTGAACTATCACAATGGTCATTGTAAAAATTTTAGTATATGATCAGGGCCTTAGTTTCATAATTCTGTTCCGCTCCATCTAATACAAATGTGACTGCTCTGTTCCTAGTCCTAAAGCTAATGAAGGATTATTTTTCATTATCTTGTTCTACTCCTAAGAATCATTTATATAGAAGCAGAGGCTAATTATTATTGACTCATCTGCTTTATCTTGCTAGAGAAAGACAAGTGAATGCCTATACACACACACACACACACACACACACACACACACACACACATACATACCTATATACTCACCACCTAGATTTGATCATTATCATTTTGCTATATTTATTTTATCATCCATGTATCCACCCAGTTGCAGATGTCAGCACACTTTACTTCCTAAAACTTCAATATGCATATCATAAACATTATAATAACTTTTATCTTTTTTGAGGTATAATTTCATACATAGAAATCACAAATTTAATTGAACCATTGATGAATTTTGAATTTTGATGCAACCTAGATCTCTATCAAAGTATAGAATATGGGCTGGCCAGTTAGCTCAGTTGGTTAGAGTGTGGTGCTAATATATAGAATATGCCCTGGCTGGTTTGGCCTAATGGGTAGAACATCAGCCTGTGAATGGGAGGGTTCCAGGTTTAGTTTCCGTCAGGAGCACATGGTTGGGTTGCAGGCTGTGTCCCCAGTAGGGGGCATGCAGGAATGCAGGAGGCAGCTGATCAGTGATTCTCTCTCAACATTGATGTTTCTATCTCTCTCTCCCTCTCCCTTACTCTCTGAAATCAATAAAAATATTTTAAAAATGTGTAGAATATTACTTCACTCAATAAAGTTCCTTCATATCATTTCCCAGTCAGTGCCACTCAGGTCAACCACTGATCTGATTTTTTTAAATCATATTTTACTTTTACTTGTTTAAAATTTAATATGAATGTGATTATACTATATGCACTCTTTTGCATATTGTTTTTTTATTTAGCATAATGTTTTTGAGAATCATCCATGTTGTTGCATCTGTCAGTAGTTTTTAATTGTTTAGTAGTATTCTATTTTATTAGTATATGACAGTTTTGTTTTTTTATTCTCTTGTTCTTGAACATCTTGGCTGTTTCTAGTTTGTTGTATATAAAGTTAAGTCAACACTTATACTAATTACTAGAGGCCCAGTGCATGAATTCGTGCACCAGTGGAGTCCCTCGGCCTGGCCTGTGCGATTGAGCTAAAACCGTCTCTCCAACATTCCCTGCAGGGTTCTGGATTGTGAGAGTGTGCAGGCCAGGCCGAGGGACCCCACTGGTGCACAATCAGGGCTGGGAAGGAATGCAGGAGGTTAGCAAGTTCATCTCACTCAGTCCGGATCAGCCAGACCCCAGCAGCAAGGTAACCTACCAGTTGGAGCGGCTGCACCCTGGTGGTCAGTGCATTGTCATATCAAGCAGTTTAGTGGGCTTAGCATATCACTAGTATATTATGCTTTGATTGGTTGAACAGCCGACCAGTCAACTGGACACTTAGCATATTAGACTTTATTATATAGGATTATGTAGTACATATGTTCTTTATTTTCTTGGGTACACACATATGAGTGGAATTTCTAGGTGGTAGGACAGACATATATTTAATTTTATAAAGAAATTGCAAGACATTTTTCCAAAATGGTTGCGTCACTTTATACTCCTAACAGCATTTTGTGATATGATTTTTTTAAAGAAAAAAATAATATTATTTTAATCATTCTAGTGGTTGGATAGTTCTATTTGTTATTTTTATTTCCCTGATGACTATTTTTACTATTTTCTCTCTTTCAGACAGTCCGGCATGGTTTTCCTTATCAGCCCACAGCATTAGCCTTTGATCCAGTTCAGAAAATCTTGGCTATTGGGACGAGAACAGGTGCTATACGAATGTATCCTTAAGTTTTTGTTCATCACTTGTCATATTAATAACAATTATATTTCCTTAAGTATTCAGGTGAGTGAATATATTTGTAATCACATAAAAAGTATTGTTTCTTTAGAACTAACAATTGTGAAAACCAGCATTGTCAAATTTATTGGCCTATTTTTTTTTTTTTATATTCTTACTAGAGGCCCAGTGCACGGATTTGTGCACTAGTGGGGTCCCTCGGCCTGGCCTGCACCTCTCACAATCCAGGAGCCCTCAGGGGATATCGGAGGCCTGGTGCACGGATTTGGCTTGATCTTCACAGGCCAGGTTGAGGGACCTCATTGGTGCACGAATCCATGCACCAGGCCTCTAGTATGCATGTAAAATATAAGAAATAATACAGAGAAATTCCATGTAGTCTTTACCCAACTTCTAATCTAGTTTAATCTTATTAAACTATAGTCTAATATTACAACAAAGTTATTGATATTGATACACTCAAGGTACAGGTCATTTCTATCCCATCACAGTGATTCCTCATTTTACCTTTCTGATGTTATTATTTTTAGTACTCATCTGAGGATATTATTTCCATTGATTTTTAGAGAGAATGGAAGAAAAGAAGGGAGACAGAGAAAGAGAGAAACATAGATGTAAGAAATATACATGGATTGGTTGTCTACCACATGCACTCTGACTTGGGCCAGGGGTTAGCCTGCAGCCTAGGTACATGCCCTTGACTGGAATCAAACCTGCGTGACCCTTCAGTCTGAGGGCCCATGCTCTAACTAGTGAGAAAAATCAGCCAGGGCTTCATGTTGCCCTTTTAAAAATATATGTTTTTATTGATTTCAGAGAGGAGGGGAAAGAGAGGATAGAAACATAATGTTGAGAGAGAATCATTGATTGGCTGCCTCCTGAATGCCCCCCACTGGCAGCCCAGGCATGTGCCCTACCCAGGAATTGAACCATGACCTCCAGGTTCATAGGTTGACACCCAACCACTGAGGGCATGCCAGTCAGCTTATGTTGCCCTTTTATAGTCATAATCTCGCTCTCCAATTTTCCCACCCCCCCACATGACTCCTGACAGTCACTAATCTATTTATTTGTCTGTTAATTCTATCAAATTCTGAGAATAGATTAAATTTGGTTCTTTAATTCTATTTCTGTATATATTTATTTTTCTTTCCAGCTCTATTAGTTTTGCTTTCTGTTTTTCAGGGCTCTGCAGTTTGGTGTGCACATACATATCACTAGAGGCTCAGTGCACAAATTCATGCATGGGTGGGGTCTAACTGACCCAGCCCCAAACTGGGTGGATCGGGGTTGGGCCTTTTGGGAAGAGAAGATAGCGGGAGGTTGACCAGCCAGCCCACCCCAATCAGGGCCCAATGAGGACTGGCCTGGCAAGGGGGAGAGGCCCTGGGCAATTGGCTGGCTGGTCCTGCCCCCAATTGGTGCGGGGGAGTGATCAGGGGGGTGGGGCTAATTGGGGAGAGGGGCCATGGGCAGTTGGCTGGCCTGCCCTGCTCCTGATTGGAGTGGGGGAGCCGATTGGAGGCAGAGTTGGCTTGGAGGAGGGTCAACAGGGTAGTGAGGGCCCAAGGGGGCAGGACCAGGTGGGGAGAGGGGTTGCAGGTGGTTGCCCCTGATCAGGGTGGGAGGGGCCAGTCTGGGGTTGGGCCATGGGAGGGGCTGCAGGAGGTTGCCTGTCTGCCACCCCACTATTGAGGAAGGGGGCAATCAGGAATGAGGCCGGCCAGGGGGAGGAGGCCTCAGAAGGTTGGCCACCAGCCTTGTCCCAGATTGGGGTAGCAGAAGCTGATCAGGGATGGGACCATGGGACCGGCTGTGGGGAGGGGCTGTGGGAGGTTGACCGCTGCCCTCCACCCCCCTCTGATTGGACCAGTTTGTTGGCCTAAGTGGGCATCACAGCAACCAGTCGTTATGGTGTTCTGGTTGCTGGCTTATTATATATATATATATAGATTGTTATGTCTTCCTGGTAGATTAATTCCTTTATCATTATATAACATCTTTATTTGTCTCTAGCAACTTTCTTTGCTCTGAAATCAACTTTACTTGATATTAATATAGCAACTCCTACTTTTTTAAAAAAATGTTTGTATGATGTATCTATTTTAATTCTTTCATATTAAACTTATGGCATTGTATTTGAAGTGAGTTTATTATAGACAACATGGATCATTTTTTCTGTTTTATTCTTTTTGAGGTATAATTGACATATAATGCTGTGTTTGTTTCAGGTGTACAACATAATAATTTGATGTTTTTGAATATGTTGAAATGATCACCACAATAAGTCTAGTTAACAGGCATCATCACACATAGTTACAAAAATTTTTTCTTGTATTTCCCACTATCTTAGTAACTTTCAAATATATAGTACAGTATTATTAACTATAGTTACCATGCTGTGCATTACATCTCCAGATCTTATTTATTTTATAACTGGAAATTTGTACCTTTTGACCATCTTACCAATTTGGCCCCCTAATTTTTGCAATTACCCATTTGTATTTCGTATCTATCATTTTGGTGTTTTGGGTTGTTTATTTGTGTTTTGTTTTGTTTTGTTTTGTTTTTTGTAGATTCTTACCCATGTGAGGTAATACAGTATTTGTCTTTCTCTGTCTGACCTATTTTACTCAGCAAGATGCCTTCAGTGTCCATCCATGTTGTCACAAATGTCCTTCTTTTTAATGACTGAATTATATTCCATTGTAGGTATATGTACCACATTTTCTTGATTGATTCATTCACCAGTAGACACTTTAGTTGTTTCCATATCTCAACTATTGTAAATAATGATGAATTGAATATGGGGATGCGTATATCTCTTCAAGAGAGTGATTTCATTTTCTTTCTGGGACTGTCCCTGCTGCTGGGACTGTGTACAGGGCCCTTTCAGGATCTCTGGGGCACAGACAGAAATTTATCCTGTTTTGTGCCTGTGCCAGCAGGCCTGCTTGACACAGAAGCTCAACATAGGCTGAGGCAGGGGGCTAATGAGTTAAAGAGCCATTTCAGACTTGAATCTGTAATCTGATCAAATTTCATAGCCTTACCTCTAGGGGCTTCTACACTGCAGCAGAAACAGGCTGGAGCTGGCTCAAAGACTATTTCTGAGTCCACAACCAGGGCCAAGGTCTCTATGCCTGATCTATTTGTGGGTTTGACTCCTCTGGGTCCCTTGGTGTATGGTGTCTGCTGATGACAGATACAAATCCAAACTGGGCTGTAACCACATTCTCAGGTGTACAGAGCTATGTCCATATTGTTTTTGGAGAGCTGGGTGTGAGCCTGGTTCTCTTCATGCCGGGACTGCCCCAGGGTTTCACAATCTTCTACTTGAATCTAGTAGGCTTCCATGAAGGCCACTTTGTCTGTGTATGGATGCCAGATTATTTCTGTTGTGAGGGATGTCTTATTTGGCCATTCTGCTGACATCCCGTGCATTAAGAAAGACTAAGATTTCTCAACTCTTTATTTACAAAAGTTAGGATAACTGAAAACCAAAATATCAGTTATTAGGTAAGTTAGTTTACTTGTTTTTCTTGTTAGTAGAAGTGCTAATTAAAATGTTAGAATCCTTGACTTTTATTTATATTAGACTCGGAAGACCTGGTGTTGATTGTTATTGCCAACATGAAAGTGGTGCAGCTGTCCTGCAGCTTCAATTCTTGATCAATGAGGTAAGGATCTCCTTTTTTTTTTATCTCTCTCTCTCTCTCTTCAGTGATATAATCTTTTTATATTTTGATTCTAAATGCTTAAAGATATATATATATATATATATATATATATATATATATATATATATATTGGGTCGGCAAGTACGTAATTGCGGATTTTTTAAAGAAAATGAAAGACAATTTTTTCATGGAACTAAATAACTTTATTCTGTAATGTATTGCCCATTTTGATCAATGACCTTTTGCCATCTTTCAGGCAGCATCATAATCCCACGTTAAAAAAACTTCTGGTTTTTATTAGCAAAAAACTGAATCAGGTACGATTTGACATCATCATCATTATTGAAATTTTTACCATTCAAGGAGTTTTGTAAAGATCAAAACAAAAAGTAATCAGATGGTGCAAGGTCAGGACTATATGGTGGATGTGGCAAAACATCCCAACCAAGCTCCATTAATTTTTGCCGAGTGACCAAAGATGTGTGTGGCCTTGCATTGTCATGATGGAATACAACACCTTTTCGATTTGTCAATTCGGGCCGCTTTTCTTCAACTGCATTGTTTAATTTCATTAGTTGTTCAATGTAGACATCAGAATTGATCGTTCGGTTGGGTGGTAAGAGTTCAAAGTAGACAATTCCTTTGTAATCCCACCAAACTGATAACAAAACCTTCTTTTGATGAATATCAGCTTTTGATGTTGTTTGAGTTGGTTCACCTGGCCTGCTCCACGATCTTTTCCGCTTGATATTGTTGTAAACAACCCATTTTTCATCGCCAGTTATCAGTCGTTTTAAAAATGGATCATTTTCATTAAGTTTCTTTAGCAAATCGCAGCTGCTAATGCGTTGCGTTAACTGTGATTCTTTCAGTTCGTGAGGAACCCATGTATCGAGTTTTTGAACATAGCCAAGTTGTTTTAAGTGATTTTCAATACATGTATGTGATACATGAAGCTTCTCTGCAATCTCACGTGTTGTACTGTGACAGTCCGAATTGATTATTGCTTTGATTAGGGCGTCATCAACTTCAACTGGACGACCAGAGCGTTTTTCATCTTTGAGTGAAAAATCACCAGAACGAAATTTGGCAAACCAATTTTGACACTGCCGTTCTTTTAAGGCTTCGTCACCATAAACAGCACATAACTTTTTATGAGCTTGCGATGCGTTTTTCCCTTTGTGGAAATAAAAAAGCAAAATATGACGAAAATGTTCCTTTTGATTTTCCATTTTTCAACGAACGCCGAATGAAAACTACAAAACAGATCAAAAAACTTTTTTTACTGATTAACAGCTGAATAGCCAACTATCAAATAACAAAATGTGTTTTACCTTTGTACTACGTCTGCAAACCTAAAAATTCAACTGAAGCCATATGTGTGTGAAACCCGCAATTACATAGTTGCCGACCCTATATATATATATATATATATATATATATATATGCACATACACTAAAGGGAGCAATTTAACAAAAGGATATAACTTTGGTAAACATATGTGTACCCAATATAGGAGCACCCAAATACATAATATATATATAGCATTATTGGTCAAAGTTTTCATAAAAATGGTACTCTAGTATTTGTCTATTAAATTTTAAAAGAAAAAGTTGTATATCTGAGAAGATTCTGTTATTGTATAGAATAATTTGTTGGTTATATAAATGTTTTTTTTTAAATATTACTGAAATATTTCACTTGTTTCAGTTACCATAAAACTTTTCTTCTATACACTCTCTGCCCATCAACTTAAATTTTATAATCCAACTCTAGTTTCATGTTTTGTCTTTATCCTCCATGAAATAATCTTTTCACTTATCTGTGTGTATCTCCATGTACATATGTTAGTATATGTATGAATTTGTACCTATTTATGTGTCCATAGCAATTATGACAACTGGTGCCTACTTTACCCATATTTTATAAACCTATAGTGATTAGAAACTTCCTAAGACAAAATATTTATTTATAAAGTTCAAAAAGGTTGAAGATCTATTAGTTGAGGGCTAATTAAGGCCATCTCAACTCAAAAAATATTTTTAAGTGGGGAAAATGTTTTATTTAGGCCATCTCATAGCCTTTTATTTTTTTAAAAATATTTTTAATATTTTTTAAGGAGAAAGTAAAGGAGAGGGAGAGAGAGAAATATCAATGTGAAAATATAAACATCAATTGGCTGCCTTCAGCATGCCCCCTACTTGGGATTGAGCCCACAATTCAGGCATCGACCCAGACCAGAAATGGAACTGGCAGTCTTTCAATGTCCAACCAACAAGCCACACTGGCCAGGGCGTAGACCTTTTTTTTAAAAAAAAAATTATTTTAATCCTTCAATTACAGTTGAGATACAATATTGTATTACTTTCAGGTGTATGATATAGTGAATATACATTTCTATAACTTACTAAAGGTTCACTCCAATAAATCTAGTGTCCCTCTGACACAATTCATAATTATTATTATATTATTAACTATACCACTATGGTGTACTTCATATCTCTGTGACCGTTTTCCTAACTGGCAATTTGTACACCTTTTTAAAAATGTATTGTTTAAAGTATTACATATGTCTCCTTTTTCCTCCATGGACCCCTCCCCCTTAGCACGTCTATTTTGTCTAAGTTGTCCAGTTTGTTGGAGTAGAGTTGTTTGTAGTATTTTTTTTTTTTTTTTTTACAATCCTTTGTATTTCTGTGGAGTCTGCTGTTACTTCACTTCTTTCATTTCTGACTTTGTTTAATTAGGTCCTCTATCTTTGTTTCTTGGTGAGCCTGGCTAGAGGTTCATCAATCTTGTTTATCCTGTCAAAGAACCAGCTCTTGGTTTTGCTGATCTTTTGTATTTTTTTTTTTTTGTCTCTGTTGTTTATTTCTATTCTGATCTTTATTATTTTTTTTCCTTCTGCTTACTCTGGGCTTTTTTTGTTGTTCTCTTTCTAATTCTTTGAGTTGTGGGGTTAGATAATTTATTATCATTTTTCTTTTCTTTTTTTTGAGTAGGCCTGTAGAGCTATGAACTTCCCTCTCAGGACTGCTTTCACTGTGTCCCATGGATTTTGGATTGTTGTGTTTTCATTGTCATTTGTTATTAGGATGCTTTTTATTTCTTCTTTGATCTCTTTGGTAACCAAGTCATTGTTTATAGCATGCTATTCTGCTTCCAAGTGTTTGGATTTTTATCATTGTTTTAATTGTAGTTGGTTTCTAATTTTATACCATTGTGATCTGAGAAGATGCTTGATAAGATTTCCATCTTCTTGAATTTGAAGAGACTTTACCTGTGCCCCAATATATGGTCTATATTGGAAATGTCCCATGTGCACTTGAGAAGAATGTATATTCTGTAGCTTTGGGGTGAAATGTTCTAAAGATGTCAATTCCATCTTATCTAGTGAGTCATTTAGGATTGCTATTTCTTTACTGATTTTTTTGTTTAGAGGATTAATCAAGTAGTGTCAGTGATATTTTAAAATCTCCTACTTTGATTGTATAGCTGTTGATATCTTACAGAAGTTTTTTTTTTTTTATGTATTTGGGTGCTCCTATATTGAGTACACATATGTTTACCAAAGTTATTTCCTTTTGTTAAATTGCTCCCTTTAGTATTATGAAGTGGCCCTCCTTATCTCTCGTTATGGCCTTCACTTTGAGGTCTGTTTTGTCAGATATAAGTATTGCTACACAAGCTTTGTGTTTTGTTTTGTTTTTTTCATTTCCATTTGCCTGAAAAATTTTTTCTTCACTATCAGTCTGTGATTCTTTATTCTGAAGTAGGTCTCTTGTAGACAGAAAATATATGGGTCATGTTTTCTTATCCATTCACCTACCCTGTGTCTTTTGATTGAAGCATTTAATTTATTACATTTAAGGTTATTATTGATGGGTACTTTTTGTAACCATTTTTATTCTTTGTACTTGTATTTCTTCTTCCCTTCCTATTTCTTTTTAGAGCAGCCCCTTTAGCATTTATTTCATTGCTGGTTTGGTGGTAATAAACTCCCTTATGCCTTTTTTTGTTTGTGAAACTCCTGATTTCACCTTCAATTTTGAATGATAGCCTTGCTGGGTATAGTAGCCTTGGATTTAGTCCCTTGCTTTGCATCACTTTGTATATGTCATTCCATTCCCATCTGATTTGATGTGTTTTGTTTGAGAAATCAGTTGATAGTCTAATAGGAAATCCCTTGTTTTCAATCTCTCTCTGGCAGCCTTTAAGATTCTTACTTTGTTGTTGATTTAATTATGATGTGTCTTGGTATCAGTCTTTTTGGATTCATCTTTTTTGAACTCTGTGAGCTTCTTAGATTTTTGTGACTTTTTTTTCTTCCCAAAATCAGGGAAATTTTCTGTCATTATTTCTTAAAACAAATTTTCTAGTACTTGTTTAGCTTCCTCTCAGTCTGGCATCCCTATTATGCGGATGTTGTTTCACTTCATGTTGTCCCATATCTCCCTTAGGTTCTTCTGCTTTTTATTTTCCCAGTTCTGCTCTGCTTGGGTGTTTTATCTACCTTTTTTTCTGACTCAATGATGTGGTCCTCAGCTTCTTCTGGTCTACTGTTGATACTTCCCATTGTGCTCTTTATAGCAGCTATGTCATTCTACATTGCCTCTTGATTCTTCTTCATTTCCTTTTGATTCTTACACATGTTAAATTGTCTTTCATCCTTTACAGCATCTTTATAACTATGGCTCTGAATTTTTCCTCTGACAAATTGCTTTTCCCCATTTTGTTTATTTCCTTTTCTAGTGATTCCTTCTTTTCTTTCATATGGGGTTATTTCTTTGTCTCTCATTTTTGTTATTTCTTTGTGGTTGTTTCTGTGTACTAGATCAAACTTCTATGCCACCCAGATTTTTTTGAGTTTGTCTTATATAATAGATGTTTTGTGGGAATCAGTGGTGCAGTCTCTCAAGTCTTCTAAGTTGCATGTCCTTGGGAAGCCTCCTATTTGTGATATTTGGGTTCTCTTGGTGTAGTGGGTCTTGAGTGTTAT